GGGGTGGGGGGTGGTAGGGCTTAGTTGCTGGAGGAGTTGGGAAGGGTTTTATTTATTCACTTGGAAACACTTTCAGAGTACCTGTAATTGAACACGCGGGACTCTGGGGATATAACGGTGACAAAACCAGTTTCCATCTTCAGGGAGCTTCCCGGTGAGTCCAAGGGCGGAGCAGATGCATAAACACAGCGTCGTGAAATCATGTTGCGAAGTGCAGCGGCGGGGAGGTGCGCGGGGAAATACAGGAACGTACGGAGCGGGGGTCGAATCCGCCGGAGGGGCGGAGGATGTTGGCCTTTGAGATGGTTTCCCCGAGCAGTAACTAAAGGATGAATAGGAGTTCGCCGGGCCAAGCAGAGAAGTAAATTAGAATTACAAGCTATGTTTATTATTGGGTTACAAAATATGTAGCAGAGAGTGACAAGAAGAGAGCAGGAGGGAGAGAAAGGGGCCAGAGAATCCAAGGCCTTCAATATCCTGGAGCTTGGAAGGGGAATGTATGGAAGAGTTTTAAGCGAGTGAGAAAATCAGATTTTTCTTTTAAAGGCGCTTTGGTAGCAACACAGAGGATGGATTTGAGGGGAATACTTCTAGAATCAGAGCCCAGTTAGGAATCTGTTGGAATATTCTTGTTAATAGATTAAGAAGCTCAGAAGTAGGGCAAGGGGTAAGAGGATGGAATAGACTGGCAGTATAGGTGATAAGGTGATCAGGGCTTGATGACTGACTGTGGGAGGGAAGAGGGACCAATCACAGATGAGTTCCGAGCGGATATAAGGGTGTCTATACTTAAAACAGCACAGCCAGATGCAGAAGTTACATTTTGGTTGTGCTGAATTTCCTGTGCTTGTGTAAAATCAAGTGAAGATGACCAGGAGGCAGTGAATACATACATGAGTATGCACAGAGCACGATAGAAAGGTCTCGACTGGTAATACATATTTGGGAGCCTTCTGCATACCAACACTAGTAGAGAAAATGAAATTGTCCAGAGAAAGCGTAGTGTCAGGAGAGTGGTCAGCCAACTCCAGGTGCTTGGAAATATATTAAGTGAAAAGAGGAGGTCATGAAGATAGGCACGTGTCATAACAGGAAGGGTGTGAGGCCACAGAAAACTGGAGGGTAAAGTTTTAGGGATTTTGCTATAGCTGTTGTGCAGTGTTTTTGGAGGGGGGGCTAGATTGCTTTGGTTTAATGGTCACAAAAGATGAGGAAGGAGGGATAGAGTATCGCTCTTAACTAGATCATAATAGAGCATAGGAAGGGAAAGTAAGATTGGTTAAAAGTTTGAGGGACCTAGGGTCAAGGGAGAACCACTTCCCCCAGCGATTGGCATGCTAATAGGCTGAAGAGATGGGGAAAATGGATATAAGTCACAGCTGGAGGAGGTGTTGGTCTTTCAATAGAAATGAAGACTGGGCAAAGGATGGCTGTGGGGTAGGTAGCTACCCCAGGGCCTGTTTTCTAGGTAATGAATAAGTCAAAGTTATTACTTGAGAGATGGGGGACAAAGCAGTTTTATGGAGAAATTGAGAAAAATAGTAAAATTTGAAATAATCATTGAGAGCAGAACAGAGATCTGACAAGTTTAACAATTGAATAGATAAGAATACAAGTGTTAGAGTAATGCCGAAAACCCAGCTGAGGGTGAAGGTCCTGTATTTGTAATTTTGCCAAGATTTCTGTGATTTCCTTCAGTTGTTCTCATTACAAAGAAAGATTGTGTCTTTCAGAATTAATGTTCCACTGGGCACATTGGCAACATAGGGTTGCAAGAGCATAGAGTTTCATTGAGGAAGTAATATTTTAATTAGATCTTAATTGATAAAGGAGGTGTTCTGTGGGTGAAGAGAATTGGCAAGCCCACCTCAGTGAGAAACTAGTATAGGTATACAGTGCGCAGGATGGTTGCTTATGGTGGTTTGGCATGTGGGATGTGCGGGAAGAGATGATGAAGCAGTAGGAACAGGATAGAGATGTGGGTCGGAACCAGATGCTCTAGTGTTTTGAAACCATTGCAAGGATTTGGATTTAATTTTAAATTAAACGGGAGCCATTGACTCTTTTTTCCTTTTTAAGCCAGGAAGTTACGAAGTGGTTTTTTTTTTCTTTTTAAAGCAGGAAGTGACTAGCAATCATTTGTGTTATAGAAAGATAATTCTGGAGTACCAGAGAAAGGATCCCACTTAGAGGAATACTCCAGTGGAACTAGAGTGAGGCCAAGGAGGGTGAGTGCGTGTGGTCAGGCAGTGCTTTGAGAAGGGAGTGGTTAGGCTACAGTCTAAAAATTGCGTCCCTGGTGTTTGGTGATTTTACCTGTTTCTTCCTACTTAAATTCTTCTTAGTTTTATCCCCCAAGTTTTATATTCTCATTGTCCTAAGGCTAACGCCCCTTAGTCTGGCATTCAAGGCCCACCATTGCATGGTCCTCTTCTCTATAAGTAAGTACTACATGGAGGAGTGGGATTATGCCTGCCTTATGTTACTTGAGGAGACAAAGTGGTACAAATCATAAAATTCGTAGTCATCTCGTGTTTATCAATACAAAGCCTGACAGATTTTAATTTTGTATTTCTGATGTTTTTAAAGTAGCTATTGTGTTTTCTTTCTAGTTCTGTAACTTTATCTAGAAAGAAGAGGAGGTTAAGTTACCGAAATTTGTGTTTAATGAATTCACAGTGATGCTCCCTAGTTAATCGTTTCTTTTTTTATTTCAACATATATTTATTCATCTAATTAACTGAAAAGACAACAAAGTTAATTTGCAGTGGGACTCTCTTCATTCTTGCCTGTTATTTGGTAAAATTGTTGGTTTTTAAATCACAAATTAATACATCACAAATGATTTTAGTTTCTAGAGAAAGAATGGTTCCAAATGCAACTTGTAAACAGATACATTAAAAATATTGTGCTAGTAATAAAAAAAAATTTAAAAGTACCTTTTTTAATCAATTGATCAAAAAAGTGGTACAACATCCAGTTGAGAAGTAGTGAAAAGAAATTGAGACTCTCTTACATTATAGTTTAGGACAACCCTTTAAGGAAGTTTTTTGGCCATATATACTGTAAGAAGCCATAAAAATTTCATATCTCTGGATATAGTAACCCTACTTATTGTGACTCCTAAACAAATCCAAAATATGGAAAAAGCCATATATTCATGACATTTGTATGTTAGCCTTATTTTAAACTGATAAAATTGGAAACCACCTAAATGTTCAGCCTAAAGTATATTGTTTCCTACTGAAAAATTTGCAATTCTGATGCCAAGGAGGAAAATGTTTATGATACTAAGATTCAAAGGGAAGAAAAGAGAATCTTAAATGTGTTTACAAATATGTTATTTTCTTAACATTCTGAAATCATCTGTGTAATTTATTTTTATTGCTCTAGTATCAGATTTACTAATCTATAGTTCTTATAATCTGTTTTTTTTTCTTTTCAAAATCAGGACATTTTCTGATAAATCTTTTGGCAACTCTCCTGTTGTATATAATTTCTCAGAAATTACTATTTGTAACTATACATTTTTTTCAGAACCTGGAGTTGTAATTTGTATGGTATTGAACTTTAAATGCCTTAGGTAGATCATCAACCCACTCTTTTCATTTTTAATTGCATTATACCTATGTCTTTTAATAGACTTTGAGTTCCCTGTGTTAAAATGTATTCTCTCTATAATATTTTCAATATAGGAAATAAAGTCCTTGCTTTCACTTTTTGGTGGTCACTTCACCAATTGTCAGGAGACTTATGGAAAGGTAAGTCAAATTTATATTTTTTATTAAATCATGTGTAATATACTTATAGATAGAACCTTGGATCTGAAGAGAAGAACTGCAAATGTTAAATTTATATTTGTGTGCTTACTTGTAGCTGTTTCTATGGGGCAATTGAATAAAAAGCATATTTGGGGGGAAATTGTGGTTTTGGAAAATAATTTAGATTTATTTCTAGTATTTACTTATTTTTTTAGTTTATAAACTTTAATTCAACAATTGTGCCATAATCTGTATCTGGTTCCTTCATTGAAAAAAGGGCTGGCTTTTTTTTTTCCGTTTTATTGAATTTATTAAGTTGGCACTGGTTAACAAAATTATACGGACTTCAGTTGCACAGTTCCACAACACATCATCTATACACTGTATTGTGTGTTCACCACCCCAAGTCAAGTCTCCTTCCATCATCTTTATCCCCTTATACCTTCCTCCCACCCCCAGCAAACACCACACTGATGTCCGAGTCTATAAGTTTTTTCTCTCTTTTTTCCCTTTTTTTTTGCTCAATCACTCTACCCCCCCAGACCCACCCCCACTCCTACCCCATACAACTGTCAGCCTGCTCCCTATCTATGAGTCTGTCTCTATTTTGCTAGTTAGTTCATTTTATTCATTAGATTCCACATATGAGTGAAATCATATGATACTTTTCTTTCTTTGGCTTATTTCACTTAACGTAATGCTCTATAGGTCCATCCATGCTGTCCCAAAGGGTAAGATTTCTTTTTTTTAATGGTTGAGTAGTAGTGCATTGTGGAAGCAGCCCAAGTGTCTGTGAGTAGATGAGTAGATATAAAAGGCCTGGCTTTCTTTGATGAGGTATAATTAGAGTTAGAATTTAGCTGAATTTCAGGCTTATATTGGTATTCATTTTAAAATTTGAAATTGTGCATGTGCAAGATTATGAATTTATGAGCTTTCTGTTTTGTATTTGTTAGTTTATCAGTGTATTAGGTAAGTTCTGGAGTAGAAAAAAAAATCATTTATAATTCTTCTTCCATGGCATGGCTTATAGTTTAGGGAGACTGCCTTCTAGTCTTTTTTCATTGACTTTTCCACCCCCTCAGTTGTAATGCTACTTATGAACTTCTGCAGTCTCTTTTTCCCTTGGTTATATTAATATAAGCACACACTGCTACACAGCCTTCATCACTAACAGGGCTGTATAATATTTTCCATTGGTTAGCTCTGTCATAATTTATCTAATGATTTTATTTCATTCAGGTTGCTTTAAAATTTTTTCTAATAATAATAGTACTAGGGTGACTCCTGTTTGGATTATTTTGAATTTTTTTGTAGGGTCCTGTAAATACTGGAAGAAGAAAGACTGGGTGTGGCAGGTATTATTTCTTGCAAAAGATGAGAGAAAAGTTCCTGATGTTGGACTTGTACTCCTGAGTGACTTTCACTTGTTGAGGAAGGAGGAAAAGAGGGAGAGTGTGGATATTACTGAGTGAGGGTGATGAACTAAGGTCATGGTTCTGCTGGGTTTTGGAAAAGTTTTGAGTTTTGAGACAGAGGGTTGGGGGGAAATCCCCCTTATGGCACCTATAACTTTTTTTCTAAGCTAGAATATGAAAAATTAATGATAATTCAATAATTTATCCTAGTTATTTCAGAGCTCGCTCCCCCAACTCAGGTGGTCACAACTACCTAGAAAAAGAGGGATCATTCATAGAAGTACATTACTTAGAAGTTAGAAATACAATAGTTCTATTATAAGGAATGATTAGCAATAGAAAAAAAATTCAAGATTATACTTTGGATTTTATATGCATTTATTATTTTGGTCAAACTAAATAGGAGAGCAACTACAAAATTAACCTGAAGTTTAAATAACCTTAAATTTGCTGATATTTTCATTTATAGAGTCACTTATAAATGTGTTCTGACATTATGCTATAACATCCTAACAGATCCCCTATTAAAGTGATTTACTTTTTTGACTATTAGAGCACTTTTAATTTTGGTTGGAGTCAGATTGCGTATTATCTAAAAGTAGTAAATAGTAATTTCCTTGACTTCTTGAATAAAAGCATATGAAGCCATAAAACTTTGTAGAAGTAAGTTGTATATTGTTTTTTCTTTCAGTCTCCTTTTTGGATTCTTAGTATTCCTTCTGAAGATATTGCCAGAAACTTAATGAAACGGACAGTGTGTGCCAAGTAAGAAAAACTTACAGTGTTCTCCTGCATGAGTGTATACCATGCTTCTCATAACTACTCTGCCCTACTTTTTGCTGTATTGCACAAAGTGAAAGGGATCAATTGTTGAGTGGCAGTCAGTTTAGCTTGCAGTTACCTGCATTTGCCACTGGATGGAGGTGGGGGAACAGAGGAGACTTACCTGCTGAAACAGGGTGAAAGAATCTCAGTATGAAATGCAGAAAACACTTATTTTGGAATAATTTTTTTATAAACTGTATTAAGCAATAGTATGTTATAAGATGTAAGTGCTATGTTATTACATAGCATAAATGCCACAGTTAATTCTAACCAAAATATTGAAAATCTAAAAAAATGTTTCTCTTATAGTTGGTTTTTAGTTGGATGAGCAGGTTGGTGAAGTGTAAGATGAGAAAAAGTGAGGACTGCATGCAGTAAGTTTTACTGTTTCATTTGTTAGAGGGAGGAATTCTGATGATCATATATTAGTATGGATTAATGTAATTATGTTCACTATCTTGAGTGCTTTCTGGAATTTATCATTGGCATTTGTTTTTTCCTTTCATTTCTTCTTTTTTATATTACTGGAAAATTTTCTATTTTGGGGTTTGAAAATTAAACTATTTTCAACATGCATCTTAAAATTTGAACAACTTACGTTATCTTTGAGTTGCCTTTTTTTCCTGAACATTTGGTAAGATTACTGGATGCCTTCTTTCCTTAGAAATTATAACATTTAGGCCCAGCTGGGCGTGGCTCAGCGGTTGAGCATTGACCTAGGATCCAGGCGATTGGGGTTCGATTTCCAGTCAGGGCACGTGCCCGGGTTGCGGGCTCACTCCCCGTCGGGGGCATGTAGGAGGCAGCCGATCAATGACTCTCTCATCATTGATGTTTCTATCTCTCTCTCTCTCTCTCCCTCTCCTTTCCTCTCTCTGAAATCAATAAAAATATATTTAAAAAAAAGAAAAAAAAATTATAACATTTAGTAATGCAGTGCAAATACAGATTTACATATATCTAGTTTTATTAACATGGTTGGCTGTTTTGTAGCATGTGCAATTGCTGTATTATTGAATAGACCCTAACCCCGTATTTGGTTAAATTCATCCTATTGAAAACTGGCCACAGTACTAAACCTAATCTCTTAAACTGAAGCTTGTTAATGGGGCTAAGGTATTTTACAAAAATGACTAGAAAATGGAAACATAACTAAAAAACACACCCTTAATTATCACTTTAGCGTATTAAAAGTTATGGCTCTAAGCGGTGTTTGATTTCCAAAGATATGGTTTACTAGGTTTAAAATAGCTACTTGAGGACCAAGAACTTTCACATTTCATTCAAAGCTCGTATCTTCTGATGCATATATTTGATAAGTGGTACAATTAATAATTGTGTAATGATTATATTAATATTATATAATTTCCTTGACTGCTTTTTATTCCCTGTATAGTTTGTATAGCTGAGATTATACCTTAAGTGATTGCTAAGTAAGAGTAGAGTAGTATTACTGTAGAGGCCTTCTCTCTGTAAATTTAATTGTAAGAAAAGGAGGAAATCATTTTCACAGTATAAAATTCAGAATCCTAATTGTAGTAAAATCAACTATTATAAGCACATAAGCATAGATTTAAAACTTAAATTCAATTTTTTTGTGTGGTAGACTAGGTAGTGAAAGTTAATTTTGTTGATTTATTTTTAACATGCAATATTTTGAGCATACCGCAAAAAGTGAAAAATATAACAAACACCTAGGTATCTATCTTGTTAGATCTCCCGTTTGTTTGTTTTTTAAGAAAAAATACATTTTACAGAAACCACTGATACTCTCTGCACCTTTCCAATACCTCCTTCCTTCAAAGGATAGTTTCTTAAAGCTTTTTTGTCAGGAAGGTTTTATTATACTGCTCGTCGTTGATTTTATATTAAGTTGACATCCATGCTTATTTATGTAGCACCCATGAGAAATGAGACAATCTTTTTAAACTTTATAATCTCTAAAATAGGGATCATAACAGTGCAATCTTACATATGAAAACTTTTCACTCTGAAAATCTATATCATGAAAGGTATTACTACTATAAATTAATATTCCAGTTTTAACTGAAGCTTTGAATTTTGTCTAATGTTTTATTTTGAACATTTTAAATATAAAATTGTTAGTGGTTTGTAAATTCTTTCCATAAAAGAGGAGTGTTATTTCATATTTTATTGATTCTGGGTTATCATGACAAATATTGGTTCTTATGTTATACTGTATAGTAGTTTATTAGGAACAATTACGATCTGGAACTGGATGCACCTTTCCTGAATGGCCTGGGATTCCTGGGGTTTTTTCATTTTTAATTTTTAGAAACAGTGTATGGTAGTGTAAAGAGCATGGAGTCTGGAGTCAGATGGTTTGGATTTGAACCCTTGTTTCAGTTGCTGTATGACCTGAGAGTTTTTTAATCTCTTTATGCCTTAGTTTCCTCATTGTTTAAATGGCTGACAATACAAGCAGCTACCTCATAGGGCACCTATGAGGAATAAGTGAATAAATATTAAGTGGACTTAGAACAGTCCTTGTTCTTTGAGTTACTTTGAGCTACATTAAATGTTAGTTCTCATTATTTTTGCTTTTCAAGGTATTTCCTTTCTCAGGTTGAGTTATTTATGCTTTCTCTCAGTTAATGTTTCAGGAGTCTTTCTTTCCCCTTAAGTTTCATGAATGCAGTGAGCTTTGTTCTCTGTTCCTAGTGCCTGAAACAATTCCTGTCATATCGTAATCCTTAATATTTATTAAATGAATGAATTGACCAATCTTGTTATAATTTTTAACATTAAGAAAATGAATACATGGAATTTTGGGACCTATATTGGAAAGTATATGTACATATATACACACACACATATATGTATGTATATGTCTGTATATGTGTGTGTGTGTGTGTGTGTATTGCCCTTTATTCTCTGTATTTTGTATAGCTGAGGTCACTCCTTAAGTGATAGCTACATAAGAGCAGAATTGCTGTAGAGGCCCTCTTTCTATAAATTTAATACAAAGGAAAGGAGGAATTCATTTTCAAAGGATAATCGCAATTCTGATGGCATTGTTAATTACAGTTATAAAGTAGTTTGAATTTAGATGCACAGAACTGTGCTAATATATAGATCAAGTTGTATTCCAACTAATTCTAAGAACTATTGAACTGATTGCAATGAAATTTTGCTTGTAATTGTTTAAACGTTCCTTGAAATATATGGAAACTTGAGGATATTTTTTATATAAGAATTTTCTGTAATAGTTGTAAAAGTAATTGTTAGTTACTAAATATTGCTAAATAAATAATAGCTAAATATCAGTAACAAATATTTATCTTTATTGTTGGAAGTATTACAGATGCCACCCCCCATTGACCCCCTCTACCCCACTCAACATTTGTATCTGGTCATTTTTCTTTTTGTTTCATGGAGAATACACTGGGAAAAATGGAATTTCCTGCAACTTTTCACTCATTTCACTAAAATAACTTCAGTGATTTTACTGTATCATTTGTGTTCTAGTACAAAAACATAATGATGAAAAGCTTGAAAAATCTTGATTTATGATAAATTTATCTATTTACGTGTAAAGTTCAACTCCTGTGTGTGATTTGGACTTCAGCTATATTTGTTTCCAGGATACATATATTTCATTTATAGTTTAGAAAACCTAGACAGTAATTGTTTTAATGGAGTGAGCATAAAGAAAAAGAACTAGTGAAATCATTGTTCCATATTACTGTGCGAACTAATTTCCTAACAGGTTAGTACTAATCATTTATTTCCTAGGTCCATATTTGAACTATGGGGTCATGGAAAATCTCCAGAGGAGCTGTATAGTTCTCTCAAAAACTACCCTGTGGAGAAGATGGTGCGTAGTGAAATGTGGTTTCATCTAGTATGTCTGTAGATACTGTGGAATTACCAAGCTTAAAAAATTTATCTGCTTTTATTTTAGGTTCCATTTCTACATTCAGATTCTACATATAAAATACAGATTCACACATTCAATAAAACATTGACACAAGAAGAAAAAGTCAAACGAATAGATGTAAGTGAATTTAGCAAAACCCAAGAAACCTGTGAGATTCATGTAGTCTAGCCCCTGTTGATATACAATAATCCCAATGTCTGTTAAATGCTTATTTTGTAGCACATTGTGTGCTAAGTATGTTTCATTTTTTTGTCTTATTGAATCCTGATTCCAAACTTATAAGATAGGTATTATTATATAAACACTATTTTCCCTTTTAAATTTTTATAGCACATTAGAATCACTTTTATTTTGTAGGCTCTTGAGTTTCTGCCATTTGAAGGAAAAGTAAATTTAAAGGAGCCACAGCATGTATTCTCTGTTTTGGAAGATTATGGTTTGGACCCAAACTGCATTCCTGAGAATCCACATAATATTTATTTTGGGAGATGGGTAAGGAAGTGTTCTTTTTACCTATTTCAGTTTATTTTCTCTCAAAGCTAAATATTTGGCCTTTTTATTTAACTCTAGATGTCGAACTTTATAGCAGCTGAAGACTCAGAACTGTATGAATTAAAGTCAGTGAAAAATATGTGGTTATGTGTTGTTTTTTTGCTATGTTTGTTTTTTTAGAGATTTAGGGCCTAGGTGGGAGGTGTACCTGGAAACATTAGCACAAGACTTGTCAGAAAGTCTAAACTGCTTTTTCAATAAAGCCAAGGGCAGATGCTGTGATAGCTGGGGGATCTCATTCGTGGAGCTCTCCAGTCTAGGTTTCCTTTCTGAAAATAAACGAAATTACTGCAGAGCAGTTCTGCCACTTACCTGAGGCTCTAAGTAGGTGAATGGAAGCTGTGGCTTATGTTACAGAAAGTTGTTATTTAGTAGAAGAAAAGATGCATAAAGCTTACTACAAACCCCTGTAATAATTGCATTCAGATTCAATTCAAATTTGATTTAAAAAGTCAAAGTAAATGACAACACACTAAGAACTAAAGGTATTTGTCCACATTTTTTTGGTAAAGGAACAAGTTTAGAGCAGTAGTAAGTGAAAGGAGTTTTCATCATTGAGATATTGTGGTGGTTTTTATTGTGAGTGATTATCTTAAATATGTTCTGTACAGTAACACTAATTTGAAAAATATCTCTGATCCAGATTGCAGATGGACAGAGAGAACTTATTGGGTCATACAGTGTCAAAAAGAGACACTTTATTGGAAATACAAGCATGGATGCTGGTTTATCATTCATCATGGCCAACCATGGAAAAGTGAAAAAAAATGATATTGTCTTTGATCCATTTGTTGGAACAGGTATTTTTATTTAACTGTTAAAGCTAGTGTAGAGATGTTGCTTGTTTGTATGTCAAGGTCATAGTAATATTTTTGCTAAAAGGTTAAATGGACTGAATCGTCTTTTAATTACTAGTAGTGACTAAGAAGCAACCACATATTTGTGCAATAGCAAGCGTTTAACACTTTTGCTGCTTCAAAGAGGATACTGATAGAAATTTGTGGTTTTCCCAAGTAAACCACAAGGGGGAAGCATACCATGCATTGCAGTGTCATACATTGTGGAAATGTTGTAAAGCTATATAGTTTATTTAAATAGGGAAATTCTTGGCTGGGAAGAAAGACTTGGGTGACAAAAAAATGTGTTCATCTTTTAAAATTGACAGCATATACTTCCCCATCCCTTTTTGGTAGCTGACTTTTTTGTTTGTTAGTTGATTCTTCCTGTGTTTTTTATTTTGGCAGTGATTAGCAGATACATGCACATTTTATTTCCACTTATATCTAACACAAAAGATAGCATACTATATATGTTGTTTTTAAATGTGTGGCTTTTTTTTACCTAACAGTATTTCCTGGAACTCACTCTCTATTTGTTCATAGAGATTTTCTTCACTCTTCCCATCCCCCTCATCCCCCGGCCCTCCCATTTTCAACCATCAGTTTGTTTTCTGTATCTTTCATTATTTTTTATAATTGTACTCCATGGGTGTATGTACTGTAATTCATTCAGACAGTTCCCTATACTTGGGTGTGGGTAGTTTCCAATAGTTGGCAGTTACAAGTAATGTTTGCAATGAATAACTGTGTATTGGAGATACATATGTATGTATCTCTAGGGTGAATTCCTAGAAGGTGAATTGCTGGGTTGAAGAGTGTATGCATATGTAGTTTATGTAGTTGTGTTAAGTGTTGCCACATTCCTCTCCATTATACCATTTTACATTCTTACCAGCAATATGTGAGAGTCTCTGTTCCCCCATAGCCTTGCCAGCAGAGTATATTAAGAAGCTTTTGAAATTTTGCCATTCCATTGGATGAAAATATATCTTAATGTGTTAATTTGTATTTCTCTTATTATGAGTGAAGTCTAATAAGTTTTCATATTTTAAGGGCCATTTTTATTACTTTAAAAATTATTTTTCATGTCTTTTGACCATTTTTCTGTAGACTTTTTGGTCTCCTCAATTTTATTTTATTTTAATTAAAAGAAATATATCTTTATTGATTTCAGAGAGGAAGGGAGAGGGAGAGAGGGAGACAGAAACATCAATGATGAGAGAGTCGTCATTGATCAGCTGCCTCCTGCATGCCCCCGACTGGGGATCAAGCCCGCAACCCAGGCATGTGCCGCGACCGGGAATCAAACCGTGATCTCCTGGATCCTAGGTCGATGCTCAACTGCTGAGCCACGCCTGGCTGGGCAGTATCCTCAATTTTAAAAGTACTTTGTATATTAGGGACATTAGCCCCCTCTTTCCCCGTGTATGTATATAAAATATTTTCTCCCAGTTTTCCATTTATCCTTTGATACAGCCTGTAATTCCTTTTTACCTGCAAAAATTTTCCCTACATCCAGTTTATAGATGGATTAAACTATGCATTTGATTAGTAGTTTGGTAGTCTTAATTTTTTCCTTTTAGATCTCTGGTCCATTTTGAGTTTATTTTCTTGTATGATGTGAGGAATGGATTTAATTTATCTTTTTCCAAATGCTAAGTCCTTAATTAATCCTTAATCTTGTTCTTGGACTTTTAAAAACTTTTTCTGTGAAGTGAGAATAATTCTTTGAGATATATACATGTATATAATGTTTAATATGCACACAAACACATAGACCAGACCATAAAGTGTAGAAATAGAGTTAACTAGTGGAGGTAAAATTTTCTTCCCTTCATGCAGATTAGGATGGATATGTTAGGAAATGCTAACTTCCACAGCAAACAAAAGGTCTTCACTACCTTTATTTTGGTAAGGGGTGAGGAGACCTGCCCCTAAATTGCTTTATGGTAGCTCCTGAAAGTGTGTAGAATATCTTGGTCATTTGACTGTTTGTGTATATATAGGACAGTCAATGGAAAACTGCAAGAGGAAGATCTTTAAAACGATGCTGCTAAAATATATTTTATAATTTGTGTTTGTAGTTTAAGCATAGCTTTAGGACTTTAGCTAGTTTTTGGTGTTTTGTTTTAAAACTGGTAGTAGCCAATAGTTGTGAAAAGACACAGTTCTTAAGCACAGCTCATCCCCCCTAGGGCCTTTTGTCTCATTGATGGGTAGTACCTTCTGAAGGATTGGATAACTAAAAAGCCCTGTGCCCTCCTCCATGGCCATAATTTTTCACAAAGCATTTGATGATATTTTTTCTTCTGTTTCCTTTTTTAGTATTTTTAAACAAGTCTATCCAATCCCTTTTCCATTTTAACGGTACAAAATTGACATATTAGTTTCCTAAATTCTTTACCCACTGACTGTTTATGACCTCTGATTTTCTCAGGGCTATAGACTAGGGTAGAAAGCTTCAGGGAAACTGAAAGGACAGATACAATCTTTAGGAAAAATACCTTTCCTTTTTCTGTTAGATAGTCTGCTACATTGTCTAGAAGGACATTATGAGCTACAGAAACACTTTTCTTTCCATATTAGTAAGTACTTTGATTCTCATTTTTGTAAGATTTTTTTTTAAAGTTGTGTGTCTCTCTATTCCTGAGGGGGAAGGTACATATCATTGGGTCAGTTCTCAATAGTTAGGAACTACTGCTGTCCTAATGTGAGCATGGCTAAAGGGATGATCAGCATGAATGTGTTGAATACATACAATGGGTATGATATGATACAAGACTTGTGAATGGTTTACAGCTCTTATTAACTGAGTGTGCAACTTTACTTAATTTAATTTATTTTAATAACAAATTTTACTTTTGTTTTTCTAATTGGTAAGCTAGTGTATACTCACTTCAGTTGCTACTGACCCCAAAGGGGACAGTATGGCATAGACTTCCATAAGAGCAAGTAGAGTTAGTTTTAAATCTGTACTCTGTCAGTTACTATGTGACGTTGGACAAGATTCTTAACTTGCCTGGGCCTCACTTCTATCATTTGTAATATGTTAATAAGTAATATATTGTGAGGATTAAGTGATGTAATGTATATGTATGAAATTCTTAGGCAGTCGCCTGATGCACGGTAGACATTCAGTGAACTGGACTGGTTATCATTATTATTTTTAATTATTATTTTGTTAAGAACTTAAATGCCTTTTTGGTAAAAGATGTTAGGTATAGCCAATATTGAATGGTGATGATGAGCAATTATACCATGAACTTATTTTATAGTCCCTTCTTTGGCTAATTTCCAAAATATTCATAATTTGCACCTGTTGGCAAATTATGACAGCCAGCAAAGAAACTGAGGGTTAAAATTGTAAACTTTTGTTCTTTGTATGTGACAAAATAATTGCTCCGTATCTGCTGGTGTAGGTAGCTGTGGTATGATTTTATGAAGGAACTCTGCAGCCATAGTTCTGAGGGCC